CAGGTGACACTGATGCTGCCAGTCTGAGGACCACATTTTGAGAACCACTGATTTAGCCTAATTTTCTGATGTCACAGATGAGAAAACTGAAGCCCAACACTTAATGAAAACACGTGTCCAAGGGCCCACAACTGGTTATTGGCTAAAGCTAAACTAGAACAGAGACTTCTGATTCCTAATCTGGTGCTTTCCTCACCACTTCAGGCTGGTACATGGCCAGAGTGCCAAGGAGGTGCTGTTCTAATAATAAACATGTTATCCTTTATGGCTGAAGATTACTAGTCTCCACGTTGTTTCTTCTTCCTCTGCTTTCCCCAGTCCAACTGGCCCTGCTAGCTCAGTATATAAATAGCCCAGTCCAACCCACTCACCCCATCACCCAGTGGGACTTAGAATCAGGTCCTGTTCCCACAGCCAGATGCCCACTCCCAAAGGCCTAGGTCCTACTTTACTCCCTTCATAGTCTTGCTGTTAAATGAACTGTAGATCTGGGGGCTCTTCAGTGACTACTGGTCATGCATAATGGCCCTGAATTACAGCTCTTTCTATAGTCTCCATGTTCATCAAAGATTCAACTTTGGTATCTGACATTTGTCCTACCTACCGGCCCAGTCCCCTTCTAAGGCTGGAGTTCCACTCTGAATGATCATCCAGTGGTCAAGGACGATGTTTCTGTTGGTCCTGTTCCTGGGCTGCAGTGTCGGCCTACACCCAAACCTGGTGGCTGGGTCCTGCAGCCCATGGGCAAACCTCCTACATGGTGTCTGCCCACCCAGAGGCTGACTGAGAACTGACTGCCTCTTGAATTCTTTAGGGCTGCACTGTGGCTGCCAGATTGTCATGTTAAGAAATCAAAGCTGAGATTTTCATGGTCCTGGGATGCTTGTCTGCCTATCACTGACACTCTCAGAGCCAGCTTCTGCCTTGGATCAGTTCTCCAGTCCCATCTCGCCCTACCCACATTCCTTTTTTTTTTTTTTTGCCCAGTGAGATCCAATACAGAGATGTCCTAAAGAGGACAAGCACTTCCAGTTTTTCCCCAGCGTGGGGAAAGGATACACTGACCCATCCACACAGTGCCCTTTTCATATATGAAGGTGATGCTCTCTGAAGGCTTGGTCTGAAAGGAGGCAAAGAATCGGCTAAATTATTCTGCAAAAAAAAAATGCTAGGTACTGGAAAAGGGAGAAAATACATAGCGAGTCTAGGAGAACACTGGAGTAGTATTAATGACACAGCAGGAAGCTGGAACCTAGGGGGAAAGTAGCCAATAAGAGATTCCCTATGTGGTGTACACTTTTGCTGTTCAATTTTAATTTGCCTGCTGTGGGACAATATGATCTCCTCGCTCCAAATCTTGATATACCTCTACAGCTTTTGTGGAGGTGACATGGAGAATGAGAAAACAGGACAATGTAGAAAAGTGTAGCCTCCTCCACTCACCTCTGCTGAGACTCATGTGTAGCTAGCAGCATCGTATCTCAGTTTTAGGCTGTAATCTACTAGTTCCAGGTGGTCGACACCAGAGGGATGAGCAGTGGCTAAAAGTGGGGCTGAGAGAAGCAGAGACGAGCGCTTGGCCCAGAAACAACTGGCAGGTGGACAACTCAGGCAGGGCCATGAAGCATACCTCCCTGTTTGCTAAACATGCTGGAGGCTCCAAAGGGAACTCTTAGATGATGGGGCCAGGTTATTCTAGGATTCACTGTCACTGCACTTTAGCCATTTGAGAGATATGAAACACACTAGATTCTCTTAATTTGATATGAAACACACTAGATTCTCTTTAATTTGGATCCAATTAACTTGGAATCTGTGTTCCCTTGTTCAGGGCTTTGGGGAAAATGATCTCTTTCTTGTCTATGAAGAAACAAATCAGTAGTAAAGATGAGATGGTAGGAAAAATGTTTAGCCTTTGTAAAGAAACAATTTAGTAATTCTTGCATTCTGTTTTTAACCCTAGGAAAACATAGTTTGCAATACATGCATTGATAGTTTCTAGGGGTTTATGGTTTTAAAGAAAAAAAAAATTTAACTTTCAATCTTTTTTTTTGTAATTTAGTTTGAGAAGACTTCCAAACCTTTCCTAACCACTTTCTTCTTTTTATTTCTCCCAAGCAGAACTTGCATGGTGAGGAGCTGATATGGAGAGCCAGAACGCCATTTTTACAAAGACTCCCCAAAGCATCCTGGAATGGGACGAGTTTTTTTCCTCCTCTCCAAATAAGTGTCAGTCATCAGAGCTAGTGGATGGTCAGGATATTGCAGTGGGACTAGAAAGAGAGGAGAGGAAAAGATTATTGCTGAAACCATTCCCATCTTTTTATTTGTTCCTAGTCCAAGAGCTGCTGGAAAGTGTCTCTCACAGCACACCTTGGTCCTTTTCCTGAGAAGCCAGAGTTGGAAGTGACTAACCAGCAAGTCTAATTGTGCCTCCATGGAATCCAGATTCTGGAAGAAGAAAAAGAGAGGTCTGGAGGTCTCTGACTGGAGAGTCTGATGGATTAAATCCAAGCCTTGAACAGTCCCAAGAAGCTGTCAGGGTGCCTGGGCAATGTGGAGCCGATCTGGACAATGCATTCCAGATGGTTTGCCTTCCTTCCTTGGGTTTAGGACCACTTGGAGCTCCCGGGCGGTCTCCCAAGGTAGACCCGCAGGGAGCTCAGGGCAACTGTCCAGTGGGAGGGACCAGGCTCAGGATGACTGTGGCAGGCTCAGAATTAGAGGCAGGGCCCCCTCCTTTGTATGGAGCATCTGGATATCATTTTTCAGGCTATTAAAAACACAAACTTTACTCTGCTAAATACAGTCAATTCATTTAAGGAGAAAAAAAAAAAAAAGCACTCAGGGGACAATTCTAGGCCAAGCAGTTGCCCCAAAACTGATTCAGATAATTTCGGGCTATATTATATGGTGAAGCTCAGAGAAGGGCTCCAAAATTCTCTAATAGATGTCCAATCACCACCCCCACACCCACCTCCCAACTTCACCAGCTCATGAGCCATGACGCCACCCACTGACAACAAAAACTCAAGGGCAATGTTAGGGCTTTGCAGTATGTTTTACTTTTTGTTTTTGTTTTATTTTAGTTTGTGCAAAATGTACAAGGCAGACGTACAAGACTTTCTCCCATTTTCAAGACTTTCCAACTAGTTTACAGAAAATAAAGCATTAAACAGAAAGAAGGGTAGGGACAGGAGAGCACAAGAGAAAACAAAGAGAAGGAGCGGACTCAATGCATGAGCTACCTGAAAATTCCTGGTGGACTGCATGGTCTCTGAATTAGCTTTGGCCATGACTGAATCTTTTTTCTATAAAGAAAAGGTTTATTTGCCTGCAGTCCTGTTTCAACCCTGTGGTGGGAGAGTAACCTGAGGTCAGTCAGCTAACAGCAGCCCCCTCTACAAGAAGGGAGGAGACAGGAAGTACAGAGTGTGCTTCTGCCCCATGAGCATCCAAGGCTGGATGGGAAAGAACCAGTTCCTTCTCTGGGGAAGTCCTGGCTAACAAGGCAGCGGATCCCAGTACTGGGGAGTGTCTGGCTTACTAGAAAAGAATTATCACAGAGCAGCATGTACTAAACAATTCCAAGGGAAATGAGTCCATAAATACTGAGAGACACAGTGAAGGACTGAACAGAACAGGCTGGAGTTATTTGGAAGAAGAGTTGCTAAAAGAGAAAACCATTTTCCATCCAATACTCATACAGGAAGGAAGCCCAGGTCAGACCCTACCCAAGCATTCCAGTGTCTATTTTGGAATTGTGCTTTAGTGAAACTATTTTGGACACATTTCCAGAAGGTAAGTATCAGAGAATTAAAATCCTACATATCCAATTAATCCCGCCAAGATGCTTTGTTTGATGAGTGGAAACGTGTTCTATATGTATCTCCCAACTCTACAAACTACCTCTCATGGTGGGAAATAATGGCATCCAGTATATAAATGTCTACTGTATGTGTGTGTATATATATGTGTGTATATATATATCATTATATAAAAATAAGCTACAAATAATCAAATACATAAATCTATATACTGTAGACTTGTAATGACATACCCTACAGAGCTTATCCACATGCTCTTCACTACTTTATCTTACTAGGTCTTCAGGAGTCACACAAGAGTGTCGTTATCCCTATTATTCAGAGACCTCATTTGACCCTAGTCCTCCTGGACACCTCAGCACGCAAATCTACAGTCTCAAGGCTCAGACCCTCACCTGTCTTGACAGGGCTTTTCTGGGCTGCCAAACAACGCCCTGCTTGCTGTATGCCAAGGTGTTATTAAGTAATGTCGATCTCGCTCATGGCAGTTCTGCTGTGAAATGCCAGTCCTGTTAATAGCTCACTGTTGCGCTCTGTGCTTGTCTTCTTGGAGTCATAGTTCAGGCCTAACCTTTATCTTCTTTTATGATATTAGGACATTGACAGACTCAAATGCCATGAACGACAGTTTTCTGAAACTCAGTCATCCTGTGGTAGCTGACACATGTCATGAGCACCATCCAATCCTTCTGAAATAATATTGATGTAAGTGACAGGCACACAAAGAAATGACAGGTATTTTTACCTCTAGATTTTCGTTTCTTTTTTTAATTATTTTTTATTATGGTAACATTGGTTAACAAAATACAGTGAATTTCAGGTGTACAATTTAGCAGTAAGGCATATATATATGTGTGTGTGTGTGTGTGTGTACATACATACATACATACATACATACACACACACACTCCATAAGGGCAGGTCTAGATTTTCTAGAATAATTCACTGCACGGTGGGAAATGAGCTCATCTGGTCATGGACCTGACAGATGGCAATGACTCTGGCCAGGAGTGCCACGGAAAACTCCCCAGAATATTGCTGCTCCTCCCTGCGGCTCTGGTGGCAGTGCCACATGGTTGGGTCTGTCTGCCAGTAGCCTTATACCCATAGCGCGTAAGCACCAAAAGAAGACACATTTCCTGGGATCTGCACAGGGGATTTCTTGAAGGGCATCTTACCTGATTTGGGTCAGCAGAGGAGAATCTGTCAAACCAAATCTCATTTGGGAAATGTGGGGCTGTTCTTAGAATCTGACCTGGTAGAGTCCACTCTGGCAGCTAAGGGCTTAGGAAAGTTGGCTGAAAACACCAAGACTCATCCAAGAAGCAGGATGGAGGCACACCCATCCTGCACTGGTGGCTGGCTGCCAAAGAAGATTGGCTCCAGGTAAGTTGCTGGCAAAGAAAAGAACACTTCTCCCTGCTCTGCATCAGAAACCTGTACATGGGTCATGAGCTGCTGGAGCAAGGGCACGGTGTAGAATTGGAAGGACACCAGGAGGCTTTTGCAATCTGATGATATTCCTGGGGCTCAACGATTTCTTCCATCTGATCTCCTACTTCCAGGAGGCCTCCTCCCCTGGCCTCTCTCCAGGTGCCATGATAGGCCTTTCATTTGATATTGAGCAGCTATTTCCATACTGTCTGTCCATGCCTCCATCTAAGAGACTGTTGTATTCTTGTCTGACCCAGGTGATCACAATCTGGGCTCCCCCCACCCTCGCTTCTTTCACTTGTAACTGAGAAATGAGAATACCCTGCAATATATTTTAGGAATAAGGTAAACAGATTTGTTGTTACCAAGAGTTTCTAAATTTACTTTTATCCATAGCAATTCATATTAGGGAAAAAGGCACAGCAGTTTTCTTTTCCAAAAATTTTCCTTCTGATTGTTCATTTCACCCTTGTAACTCTTAGAACCATGTAGGGACTACTCAAATTACCTCTATTTGACAGCTGAAAATAATGCAACCCCAGAGTGGCTTGTTTGAGGGAGTCCAGGGACTTGGTAACGAAACTGATGTCTGACCTCCTGATTCCCGTTCTGGGGTTCTTTCTACCAATTTTCCTTACTTCATTTATTCAGTGTAGCAACTAAAATGAAAAAGTGCCTACTCCATGCCATGGAAGAAACAGGTTTCTAGTCTTATCTCCCACATCCCACCCACACAAACCATCTGTCCAGCCACACAAGAATAGCCTTGTGTTTTCAGCCTCTGTACCTTTGCTCCTGCTGTGTGACTTGCTTGAACTGGCCTCCTCCAGTTCTCTGCTTAATGAAACTTAATCATCCTAAGCCCAAGCTCAACTGTCCTCTCTTCTATATTCTATTCCTGATTATTGCAACAGGAAGTAGCTTCTCTTGCTGAGGATGAAGTTAATTTTAAAAAGGCAACTTGGATGCCATCATATACTGCTTTGATTTATAATTTTTGTAGGTGAATTTTATCTCCCCACAGTAAACTATGAGCCTAAAGGAGGCAGAAACTTTATTTCACACATCTTAGTGTTCCCCACAGTCTTGTATCTAACAGAAGCTCAATATTTATCCAGTGAACAGAGACATGGGGGAGGGTAAATGGCTTCTCTAAAATTTCACAGTACTTGAATTCAGAACTCCAGAATCTGATCTCCATGTACTTTCCACCAAGTCATGCTGAAAACAGTGCAGTTTTCACTATGTTTAGCCTCTTTGTAGGTCAAAAATGGTTGAAAGAGACTATGTCATATAGCTCAATCTAATACAATGCATTTGATCTGTTCGAGAAGAGTAGAATAGTTACAAAGTTGAGCTTTAAAAATTGAACTTCCTGTGCCGTTGGCCAGCATGAAATGAGTAGCCCTCTCCCAAAGATGCCTCCTCCTTTCATAAACTTTAATTGATTCTCACCATGAGTCAGTGGAAGAATAAAGTATGGTGGTCATTAAGGTGCCTTCATGGACTAAACAAAGAGGAGAATGAGAGAGTGACCCAGTGTTACCTTCTTTCAATCATCCATGCACTATTTCCGTCAGCCTTGAGTAAGCAGGCTCTAACTGCCCACTCTGAGTTAGATGGTAGGTATACAGAAGTAACACAAAATCTCTGTCCTCATGGAATGCCAATCTGGTGATCGTCTAGGGCCACTGCTGTAGTAGTAGTAGTACTCTTCCTTCCGTTTTATCTGAAGAGTTGAATTAAAAGTGATACTCCAGGCATCATTCTGTAAATGAAATGTATACTCAGTCTGTCCACTGAATCCATCTGTGTACTGAAATGTAATAAAATAGAGATAAGTATGCTTGCTAGGACCCCTTCAGGAAGCTTCTGGGGGTGGGAAACTCGCAAGAGATTTGCTCAGGTAACAACAGAAGTTCACTCACCTGCCTTCAAACAGGGGTAGAATGTGGTTAACTGCAGAGCTCTTCTGCTGAGCAGAATGTACAAGTCTCAATCGGAACTAAATTGTTCAAGCCAATAGAGAAAAGACTTATCCTATGTTCTTTCCCTTGTGGTTGTCAGGCTCTCTTTAAATAAATATTAGGCACATATGTAAAGAACATGGGTTTGAAGCAGTACCAAATTGGCCTGTTAAGGTGGCCATCTATCTTGGTCTAGCCTTGTTTACTAGTGTTATTTTACTTACCTAAGGGAATGGACCACTCCTTAGGCAGTAGCAGAAGCCACAGTGGAACTCAGGAGTCTTAACCCAGCCTTGCACCCTGTGCATTAACATCCCATTGCTATTAGCAATTCATTCCATTTGTTTATTTATTAATGACAATTATCTGCATTGCTCAAGTGGCTTCCTCATCCAAATTAGATATTAGGATATTAGGTCAACATCATCAGTTTTTTGAAGGCCATACCTCTCTGGTATACAAAGGGATTCAGCAAATCAAGCCAAGACCAATTGCCTGCTTCCTACCACGTACTGTGCTAGGTACTGCACGTCACAGTAGGTAAGACTTAGTATGGTTCATTCAGAAGACTATTCTGATAGACAAACCAACAAATGTTTTTGCAGAAGAATAAAAATGATCATCAGTACATCGTCCTTACAAAATTATAGACATATCCCAAATAGGTCTAGCTCCCTTTAACCACTCATTAGTTCTTTATGCAGTTACCTAAATTCCTATAGTATTTGTTTTGTTCATGTTTCTAGCATTTCTTGGTATGATGAATTTATAACTAAAAGAGTAACATAGAATTTCCTCTTACATATTCTAAAATTACTTCTTTCAAAGTTTAGAGGCTCCTTCTCCCATTTAGTTTTAGTGTTGGATAATCTGGTGAATCATTCCTGATTATACAGTATATAAACTTCATATTTTCATAAAATTTAATCATGTTCCTGTTTGGTTATCTTTGCAAAGTGCTCTACCTGCTGCAGTGAGTCACCAGTCCTCAAGGCATTTTTGAGGCCTTCCTGGGACTTTTCTGGTTCTTCGTATTTGTACTGATGTGTATGCTTTCCAGAAGAGTGGGCGATAGCATACAAGGTATACATAACCATGGTTCCATATATATCCAAGCTGATACCTATGTAATTCTTTAATAATAAGCAGGTCAGTATTTCACACAACCATTTATCATCAATCCTTTCATCAATCCTATCATCAATGTTTCTTCCTTGCTGTGTGAATATCCTCACTGCAAAAAAACAAACAAACAAAACAGCCCTACTGCAGCAAATATGTCTAGAATATTCCATTAAGACTCCTTGCCTGCTGCTGCATTCTCTTCTCTGATTTTGGTTTTCTATACACACTTAAGCACTCGTCTACATGCTCAAAATAAACAAACACACAAAACAAAACAAAACAAAAAAAACATAACACTTTTTCTCCTGAAAAATACCAAACAACAAACCTTCTCCTATTCCCTATGCACTCCATTCTCTCTTTAACTATGTCTACTTCCTCACTAAACTCCATTTTCTTTTTCTTTTCTGGCCTCTAGGGATTCTTTCTCATCTTTTTTTCCCCACAGGGTGTCCATTAAAAACACAACAAAAAGAAAAGAATTTTCATTCTCTAGGTAATGTGCAGCCAGTGTAGTGAGGAAAACAATAGGTCTCTTAAGCCAAATAACTTTTAGCAATTAACAGTATCTTCTGTGCATGGAACTTAAAAATACAGTTGTTGATACGTCATACTTTCACAAATGCCAATTGTGAAACTTGCATTTATGTAATAATTAACTACTTTAAAACTAGACTCCTGTGTTATGGATGGAAATCATGTGGTGAACTAATGAGAAATGGATGGAATGGATGGGTTTTAAGTTTTTAGGAGGTAATATTCCCTACGGGACCTTTGAGACAGTCTATGGGCTAGCATTCTGTAGAATTAATATAACTATGACAGCAATATACATTTAAATAAATGAATTGGTTTTAGAAACTGATACTTTTAAATGTTTCATTGGTATATCTTTTAAAAAGGCAGCATTGTACCCTTTCAGTCAAGAAAAGTTGGTTTTTTTTTTTTTCTTTTTAAACTTGATGAAATTGGTAGTATAGGTGCTTCAGTGTGTCTTCAATCTTTCCCTGACCTGTCCATTCTAAGTACTTTTAGTCTGGAGAATCATCATTGGCCTCAAAACTCCCCAAAGAAAGCCTCCGCTGAGTTTTCATCCTGAGTTTTTTAGTGACAGGTTCGATGCCAGCCGGGCTGCTTGAGGATGTAGGTGGCATCTTCAACTTTACATGATCAGGACACTGAGTAGGTGGCACCGTATATCAGTGAATTGGGAGTGAACACAAAATTCACAGGGACAGATGTTGGGACAAATGTTCCTCAAGCGTAAGGAAGAAGGACTGAGTCTAACATTTTAAAATATATAATTTAGTCAATGACTAGGACTCTTCCACACATCAGTCTGGAAAGATAAATCAAATACAAAATGTTTTCTTTTTTTATCTTAAATATCTGTACCAGTTGACTAGACAATACTCTCTGAGTTGCTAGTTTTAGAAGTGTTAGACTCATTTTTATAGTATAGATGTAAACTGTGAGGTCCAGAAAAGCTAGTTTTTTTGAGAATATAACTAAAAGTTCCTGTCAGAAGCTGCTTGTTGTTAATGAGAAGCCTGTTGAAATAGAGAATATAATAAACACCAACTGTCCTTCCCAGCTGACTTAATTTTTGAAGAAAGCTAAAGAAAACAGACATGTGACCTGTGGTTTGAGAGATGCCCAAATAAACTCTCCAACATATTTATATTCAAACTTGACCCTGCAGAGATCTTCAGTTTCTGCTTCAAAGATGCTATAGTTAATGGAAGGATTCATATGCCTCTTCCTCCTGAATGGGCCTCTGAAAGGCAGTATGTACCCATCCTCCAGCTTCATTAATCATCTCAGAGAAACCCATTAAGATTCTGTAAGGATTCCACAGAATTTGAGATCCCACTAGCTCTTATTTACAAAGCTCTTTGATACCTAGTCACAGACTTTTGGTTCAGAATGAAAATGCATGTAGGATCTATAGCCTCTTCCTAGAACTTTCTTCCTTTTCCTTTTGCTGTTTAGAAATAGAGATCTATTCATTTAAAGCAAATGTTCAGGAAACATATTACCCTTCGGGTAGTTTGGTAGTGTCTATCAAATTTTAAAACGAGGAGAGGATTCTGCAAAGATAGGAGAGGTGGCAGTATAGCTTTGAATCTTCCCAGATCACTTCATGTAACTAGATAGCAAAACTAAAAACTCTTGGAATATTTACAGAAAAAGCCAGATGAGAAAGTAGCTCCATGAACGTCAAAATACAAGTGGAAGGGGTTAGACACAAGACGTGCATTACGTCAGCACCTATGCAGGAGGAAGCAAAGGGGACAGTATACCCAAAAGATCTGTGAAAAGTAAAGCTCAAAAAATAGCCCATGGGCATTCACTAGAAAGTATAGTAGGCTAATGTGATACCAGTAGCTAATCTGGAAGAATTTTGCCCTCCGTGGTGATGAGTTCATGGAACCCCCAGTCAGATAGACTAAAGAGGCTGAAGCCATGTAAACCCTATGAATGGTTGAGACTGATGAGCCATGGAGGGCATCTTCCCAGGACAGGGCCCACAATGAGGAGAAACTGTGGGGAGTAGCATCAAAATTGAGCTGGACTAGGATAACAGAGACAAAGGAAATGAAATTTCAGATAAAAATGCGGAGAACGACAGAGCCAGAAACCCCCAGAAAACCAGCCACCTTGTTTTTGAAGACTTTGCAAAAACAGCAAAAGAGGGACCTCAGTGAAGTTAGCTTTTCTAATTCCTGAGCCATGCCTTTTAACTAAACCATGTCTCCCGCTAAAAGTTCAGGAAAAATAATTTTACAATTGAACAACAGAAAAGGATGAAGGTCAAATCCCGTGCAAACATTAGAGAAAAGAGAATAAGGAGCAGAATAACATTCCTACAATGAAATCACTCTAGAGAAGCAAGTCTTCAAATAAGAAAGAAAAATTGTAACTTACCATTTCAAAATGAAGTGAAAGGAATTAGAAAAGTTACACGATACCTGAAAGGATAACATGAATCAAAATTAGAAAAAAGATCAGAAATGAAGCAGAACTGAGAAAAGAATATTTTTATTTATATTTAATAAAAATTTTTATTTCAAAAATAAAAACAAAATTACAATAAATAAAAACAAATAAATGCAACAATAATACTTTAAAATACATATAATGTAAAAAGGAGGGAAAATCTTAAAAATCTATATGAAATGAAGAAAGAAAAAGGTTGAAGAGAAAGTGACCAATATTTTCGATAGGCAAAAAAAAGCCAACATCCAATAATGGGAGTCCCTAAAGAAGAAACACAAAGCAAGGGACCAGAAAAAATATTTCTTTTACAATAATTAAGCAACTTTTATGAAATTAAAAAAATATATAGAACTACATATGGAAAAAGCATACCATGTACCTGAGATTCAGAATAATGATCCAAGACATGGTCTAATAAAATCACTGAATTTTAAAGAAAAATTCCTTTGGGCATATATAGTTTTTAAAAGACAGTGTGATAAGAAAGAAAATTAAATTAGAATCAGATGTTTCAATACTAACACTTATGTCTGAAGAAAAACTGACTTTCTGGTACAAAGGACACAAAGTGTTATCAACATGTAAGAACTCAGGGAATATTGCTCCTGTGAACCCTTCCTGTGTATCTACTAGAAAACAATCTTCAGAGTGACTAGTGCCATATTAATACGAAGACTAGTGAATGTTAAAATACGTAGCTACTTGTAGAATCAGGATAAAGTGAGGGATAAAAGAGTGAGTATAGTATACAATGGCTACATACTCTGACAATGTAGATATATTAAAAATTACTTTTAAAAAATAGAGGCAAATACAGAATGCAAATGAAAAAATGTAACTCTGAGCAGTCATATTGGTGGTATTAGTATTGTTCTGAGTCTACTGTGTTTGTAAACCTATTGTACTAAATTTTAATTGGAAGTATCAAAATAAATTTATAAGATTTTATTTTTAAATATATATAGATATAGATAGATATATGAAAAGGCCTAGAATCCATGACCAACAGAGAAGTGATGAATACACTTAGTGCCTAGATTGTGGTTTTGAAACACCATTTCCTGCTAAAAGAAACCATGGCTTGTCGGAGAAATGGCAGATTCCAGGTCTCGGGCATGAGATATACAAGATGAGGTTAGAACATCTTGTCATATCAGATAACAAGGAAGCTACCAAAGACTACGAGGGTCATGTCAAAAGGGTTCAAATGCCAATGAAAGAGGCACTCACTGGCCAAAGATGGGACAAATTTAGCTGCAATAAGAACAATGATTGCAATGACTTGAAACCCATAAAATATGATGAATATATGAGTTCGTGATGACTAAAATAAAAAATCACCTTTGTAGGATGACAGGAAACATTCATTATTTTGAAAATTGGTAAATCAAGGGGAAAGAATCGAGCATTTACTTGCCTTTTCTTTCTGAATCGTACAAGTGATTAAACAAATAATAGATAGGAGGAGGTATCTTTTATAGAACTATTCCATCTAATAAATGAAAAAGAAAAACAAAATTAGAATATTCTATGGCCCACAATAAATTAATTGGATCTAGGTATTGAGCATCAATATTTGCTAAAGTCACAAAAAGAGACAGCCAGACATTAAGTACCTCCTAATGACGTATCCATCATCTTGCCAAAAGTGAGACTCAAAACCTGAGTCTCATCAAGCCTCCAAATCCAGCTGCCAGTCTGCATGAAATATGAAGGACAGGGGAATATGCTGAACTGCATCGAGAGAATACAACTGGCATCACCCAGACTGCAGGAAACTCTACAAGTCAAATGCCCTAAGCTCTTCAACTGAGAAATTGTATGGACACAACTAAACTACAGTGTTCAGGGATGCCACTTGGCTGATAAAAGCACAAAAAATAGAAGGAAGCGATTTCTATAGAAGTCGGTATGATGATTACTTTCAGGGGAAGGGAGATAGTTGTGATTGCCACAGAGCATAGGGAGGGCTTCTGACATAGCGACCAAATTCTGTTTCTTGATCTGAGTGATGGTTAACAGGGTGCTTACCTTGTAACAATCCATAAAGCTCTGCATTTGTTTAGTTTGGTTTTCTGTATTTGTGTTTTATTTCATAATAAAAAGTGGCTTTAAAATTAAAACTGCACATATCCTTTGGCCTAGCAATTCCACTGCTAGTCTGTAAGATAAACTCACTGAAATATGCAAAGACTTATGTATAGGTATGTTCACTGCAGCACTGTTTGTAATTGCTAAAAAGTTGGGGTAATGGTGGAAGCGAATGTCTGTTAGGTGGGAACTCAATGAATAAAAAAGAGATAGGTCTATATCTCAGACATATTATTAAGCGGAAAAAAAGTAAGGTGTAGAATAATATTATGATGATCTCATATGTGTATACACGTGCACACATACACTGTATTTGCACTGAAAATACTTCTCAATAAAATATCACAAATGAGAAAACATGAAGGCCAAAAAGGGTTGGTGCAGGAAAAGTAAACCCTTGGTGAATTCAATGCTAAGAAAGCAGATTTCCTATGGTGTGCAAGATTTTTTAGGCTTAGTTTTAATAACTAATAATGAGACACAAACTAATGGTAATCTTACCATTAATGTTTCCTTAGAGTCTTCAGAGTATGGTAATTCAACCTAAACTTGGAGCCCCTATGCTGTTGTGTGAACAGGAAATTCAACTCAGGTCAGTCTGAAGTATAGTTTGTACACTTACTGAGGGCTCTGGCTGGGACCAGGCATCTTAAGCACGAGAACATCTGTAGGCCCTTCCCATCATTGCTCCACATAGGCCAGTCCCAATCTGCATGGTCCCTTTGGGTTTGCCCCTCTGCTATTTTCTAGAAAAGAGGGACTCTTTGGCAAAGACACAGCCTCCCTGAGGCATACATAGCAGGGGTACTGCCATGAAGCAGGGTAACATCCTTGCTGTTTCTGGGAGAACAGATCTGCACAGCTGTATTTCTGGGGAAATATAGCTCTCCTCAAATCATATTCTCCTTGATGGGTTTATTCAGAGCGAAAGCCTGAAAGTCCAGCCACAAGTTTCTCCTGCGGCAAAGACACACAGAACCAGTAAGAATGGGAGAGAGAAAGGGGGGAAATACAGAGGGAACAGAAACCAATATTTCTTAAAAGCTTTTTTCACCAAATTCCTTTTATTTTAGATTTGAGGAAACAGACCTGGGCGTAATGACCAAAGGCAAGCAACTGGTTACTGACAGAACTGGCCTTTTACTATATCACCATGCCTCGTGGCTTTTCTAATTTCCAACCTCTGTCCTATTCTAAATTGCCCTTTTTAATTGGCACTCAAGTCTCTGCACCTAGAGTTTTAGACATATTTGGAAACACGTTGATCCACTCAGGGCAGAATTATTTGTGACAGCAAGAATAGCTCTATCCTGGGGCATATCCAGCAGGATGAGGGATTCAGGGATAAATCATGTTGTGCTCCATTCTTCCTGGCTCTCCATATTTTCACACAAGAGAAATCAGGTTTCTGAGAGTGCACAAACCCCAGAAGGCCATCCGAAGAGTGTTTCTGGAGAGAAAGTCCCTCTGTGGAGGAAAAGGCAATGTCCCATGGGTCCAGCTATCTTCCACAGACACCCTTAGGATGACCTTGGGGAACCTGATTTCTCTGTAGCAATGATATATGTGGACTAGGTATGTGATTTGGAAAAGGCAGGCGAATTAGCTATATGTATGAGGTTAAGTTTTTGGTTTTACTTAGTGACAGCTAGCAAGAGCATGTCCTTCTTCCACTGCCTCTGAGAGTCACCATTCAGGGGTATCTAGGCAGAGAGGGGAAGTGGCAGTGGTACTGCATCTAATTTTGAGAGTAATCATTACTATATCAGAATGTAAATGACATGTTCCAATGGGCAGTGTAGGAGTGCACGGAATTGTCTAGCTATCTCGTATATTATAGGCATGGTCTAAGACTTTCTCATATTCTTTCTTGTAATAAATTGCAAGAGAACAGGATGTACTGTTGTGCTTTATAATTCAGGCAAACAATACAGGTATTGGCTAACATGGTTTTACATAATCAGCTGCCTTTTTTTTTAAGCTGATCTGGCAGAAAAGCATTGGGCCATTGAGGGAGTTGCATTGGCCTTTCCAACACTCTTCTGTCCAGTCCATTAATCAGCAGCAGAATAGCTGTAGTTACTGCACTATAGCCCAAGGAGGTCTGCGGTTGTGAGTGGGCTGACTGGGAACAAAATGGTATCATTCCAATTCTGATTGATTAATGCTGAAGTCATCGCTGAATAATGATTACTAGTTTGTTTCCACAAATAATTTAGTGGGTACATAAGGCCTAAGTTAAACAAACTTGGGACTATGAAAACAGATTTTTCTTGCAGTGGAGGCAGAGGTGTGGAGATGGTAGGAAAGGAGAGAAAAAAACTGGATAGATCTGACTGAATAAGCAAAGAGAAAAAAAACAACCGTAGTTCAGGTTCTCATGATGCTTTGGGCACTTTCCTACCTCGTGCTATGGCCTTCTCCTCATCTCTGCATTTGCCATCTTTCTGCAGTCAGATTACCACAGTCACTCCTTTCTATCACCCTTGGCTCCCTCCTTACAGATTCCCCTGAATCCGTAGCCAGATGGAGTTACTGCCTGCTGAAATGATTTAGACTTCCCCTCCCTCAAGGCTTTTCTACCCAAATTCTCCAACTCCCCGCAATTCCTCCCAATGACTTGTTTCTAGCAAAGTACATTCCATATCATTCCTCTTGTCTCATTCTCTCCATTTCTCTTTTTTATTGCTCCTGTGTCCAAGTATTCACATGCATGGAAAGATAACATTCATCTACTTAGGTTCGATGACCTTTTCAAAATGTTTAGTGTTTTCCACTAATCCTGGACACAGAGGATATTAGAGTCGCAAGAATGTTTGGTGTTGGAGGCAATATCAAATTTAAATATTGCTTTTCCATTTGCGGTTCGAGACATATTTAA